CGTTTACTTTGTATCACAATAGAGAAATGTCCGGATTTAGACGGGTGTGGCCGCATCTCTGCAGCCTCGTGCTGAATGCTGCAGGTCAGTGGCTAGCCAGCCATGCAGAGCAGGAAGCTCACATTTTCATCACATCGAGCATGGATGCACACTTGGTGGAAATCCAATAATAGAGGATGTACATTTTTTTTTCCAGCTAGCAATCCGATTGTGAAGTCCAAAGCAACCTTCTTGATCATTTCACAAATGCACCTTTTTAATACATTGAAGTAAATCTTTAATCCTGTTTCTCGGACATTCCAAAATTACCAGGACTGTGAAAATATAATTGTTTATTACGTACAGTATTGTTTTAAGCATATACCATCAGAACATCTTTTCTTCGCTTTGCAGCCAACATGGAGTATATGTTGCGTAAGGAAATGTTCTATGTACATGCATGTGTAAATGTGTATAATTAGCAAATGCTGTGTAATTATGTAGAAAAAAAATTGTTGATCTTCAAGCATAAGATTGTTGTCGTTGAGAAAAATACCTGATTGTGTTTGTTTGCACGTGCATGTATGCCAATACAGTATGTGTGCCCTGGCCCCCAGATGTGAAACTTTACCTTAACTAAGCTTCATAAAATCACTAGTTAAGGTGCCTTTGGAGGGGGGGGCACACGTAGCTCTTTAGTTCCTCTCGGAGTCTGCGATAATGTTTACCCGGCATGATGCAGCATGCATCCCTGATGACATACGTCAAACTAACTCAAAGGCCTTTAGGTAAACAGTTGGTGGTTGCAAGGAGAAGAGCGGAGAGGAGATGGTGGCGACGGTTATGAGGTGTTGAGGGAGAGTACAAGACAAATATTTTATATTTCTGGCACGGATGCAAAATAGCATTCCTCAAAGACGTGGCGTGTGAGCTTATCGCAGTACTGCTGGTTTAAGTTTATCACGATCTGCTCTAGTTCTTTTTCAGAACATGAATTTGATTTCAACTGCGTTTTTTTAGGTTAAAGTCATTTTCAGTTAATGGGAAATGATTTTGTTTCCAAAATATATGGCACTGCAAGTTTTTCAACCCAGACCCAACGGAATGAAGTTGAATTGAAATTGCTTTTTGAATCCCACAATAGAGGCCCCTTTTGTTTATGTCCTATTTTCTCCATCATTCAGTCTTTTATGTGTTTAACAGTGAAGCCCTAGCAGTCTGGAACAATGCACTGCTTCAAGGCAGCCCCACAAAGAACAGCGATCACATGGGTAGACGGTTTGAAACGTCTTTAATTGGTGCGGCCTCACTGCAGAGTGAAAGCAAACTGCTGGATGCCACCATTTGATGCCAGAAGTTTGATATAAATGTGAACACGTGCTTTGCATCTGTCCTCAATAAATCAGAACGGACAAGTTTCGAGCTCGCTTTCACTTATTGGTTCCTTGGGGAATATCTTCACTACTCTTTTTCAGGTAGATAATTGTAACAATTAGCGACTAGTTGGAACCGAAAGCAGTTGAAGAACTTATTCAAAGACTTAATTCCAAATAAAATGCTATTCATGAGTAGATATGGTTTGGTCATACAAAATAAAAAATGAGAAAACGATTATATAAGATGCTACTTATAAGGAGGATAAAAGACAAACATAAACGCTCTGGTCGAGTAAAAATGGTAATTTTACCAAGTATAAAAAAAGACTAATACTGTCGAACCTTGTTACAACATACCTCGAGGGATATAGCGAATCGGTACGTTATAACGGTAGATCATAACCATTTCCAATAAAATGGCCTCCAACTATGCTGTATAATACAGTATGAACATTTATAGATGTAAAAACATGAACATGTAATACGGTATAAACATGTCAATTACAAATATGGGAATCCAGTATGAAGAAAAAAATATTTTAGTCGACATGAAACAAACAACTATAACGTGCCTACTTCAGCTCTGAAAACATTCAATCAGCAAATGAAACGTTCCTTCTCCAGTTCAGGATGTGCCGCGCCCCAAAGCCGTTTACGATCAGCTTTCAATCTGTTGGCCGAGAACTCTGCCATGTTTTTGTTGCTATTACGGATGATTGTCGAAATCGTCAACTTTGCCACTTTGTAGTCTCGGCTGAGCTTCGACTGGAAGACTCCCTTTCGAATGTGAGAGACAATTTCAGCCTTCACAGACAGCGAGATTTCCTCCTGTTGACCAGACGTGTTCTGAGAGCATGTGCGCCATGCCTGTGGAAGTATACCAATGGATGAGTTGATCTGTAGCGTTGCTGGGCTGCGCTGGTCATTTTGTTCGTAAACAAGGTCGCAGCGGCAATTGGCTTCCCACTGTTCATTGTAACGAAGGCCTTTTCACTACTTTATGGGAGAAATCTGGTTGTTATAATGAAGTTGACGTCATAAAGGTGTTTGTTGTAAGCAAAATCGGCAAATGGAAAATGAATGATGTGAAACCGGGACCCTCCTCGTTTTGCCCCCCGCGGCATCTTCGGTGTGACCTCAAGAGCGTCCGAGGCGCGCCCTTCGGGGGGATGAACAGGAAAAAAAAAAACAAATTTTCTTGCTAGACACAAAACACTGATACCAATCCATAAAGGGAGTAAGACGATGCAGCACTGCAAATAGCAAAGACATGGGAAAGATTCGGCGCCCTCCTGGTGTGGCCGCAGGTCTACTGACTTGGAGCTGATGGCCAGTTGCTCCTCGGTGCACACCTCCTCGTTCAACTCCTCCCTGTGCCGCCTTGGAGAAACAAAGCAAAACACAGGGAGAGCCAACTGGAATTGCACACACACAATTCAGAGTAGATCATCAGCATCACAACAATGAATGCAGCTTAACCATTGAACGATACAAACTTGCTCGAAACTTACTGGCACAGCTTCATGAACTCGTGTGTTTGATTTGTGCTGGTTCAACTCGCACGTGTGTTTGTCCTCACGTTTCTCCCCTCCAACCTCAGTCGGCCCAGGCTCTCAGGAGTCGTCCCTTGGAAAGGCATGACAGAGGGCCCCAGTGTTTGCAAGAGGCTGCGCTGGCAGCGATAAGCAGTTCAAAGAAGCGTGCGCATTAATGTAATTGGCTGCCAGCAGCACATTGGCCTCGTCCTCTCAAATCCACAAGCAGTTTCACTCAGCAGGCGGATTATTGGAGGGGAGTGTACGTGAGAGGATGAGATTGAGAGGACGGGGGGAAAGAGAGATGAGGGGAAGGACACAGAGAGCGAGGACGTCGGGAGCGAGGGGGGGCTCATTGTGTCTCATTAAGCCGTGGGAGGCTGAGGGAGCCAACCGGTGAGAGGTGTCAGAGTTAAATGTCAGGTCAAAGAGGGATGCAGCTGACCTCCGACCAGTTTACGGTGACAATCTTCAGCCCAAAATTATCCCCTCAACTCTTCCCCTCTAACTGTCGCTCACCTCGTTTGCGCTCTCCGTTTTTTTCCCCCCGTTTTGCCCAAATTGCTCGTATTATGTGAATACTTAAAACTGGAGCATTAACGAAATGTCACAAAGCTCGGAAGAGCAACGACCTGCGACAAGTTTGAACTGTCGACAAAAGCAAAAAACAAGAAAAAAAAAAGGTCCAGTATGTTTGTTTGTTTTTTAAGGTCGGAGGACTTGAAATGTTAAAATTTAAGGTTAGACAAAAATAAACTTGAAAAACTACAGGGAAGCGTATTGTTAACCATCCTGCCAAAAAAATCAGCTATTGCTTCTCAAACGCTGTGAGCATGTCCACTGAACGTATTGAAACCACGACCCTCAACGGTCACTCAAATCCCACTACTCCGATCTGAAAAGTAGACGTTAGAAATGTTCTTATGCCTCCACACCCCTGCACGTTTGAGCCAACAGAGCCAAAATCCAATCCAATCATGGTTTGATGCATTTTACTCATATGTACTTTGTGTTGCATTTCAGCTCCCAGACGTCATCTCCGCTTTGACATCTCACATGGAACTGCAGCAAAATGATAGCAGCATTTCCACCGTTCCGACTCCGCTCAAAGTTTCCTTTCTGCTAATTTTCAAGTCTGTATGATGGCAGGCACAGAGGAGGATGCTGGCTGCCTTCCTCCACTCTCACGAAATGTTTTCACAAAGGCTGCGAGAAGCTTTGAAGTTTCCACTGCGCTTTCCTTGTATTGCAAATAACTTTTCCCTTATGTCTCTCCTTGAGTTCCCTGCAAACACTTCTCAGCCCACTTTTTCTTCATAGCTCTCTTTTGTGCAGCTGCCGTCTTCATTTCTTCCCCCACAGCTCCTAGATTGTCCACACCATTGCGTGATAACAACAATAGACAAGATGGGAGTGGCTCTGCACTGTTACTCTCATGTTGACTTGGTGGCACAAGTGTGAATCGTCGCACTTGGTTTTTTTCCGCTGATGATAACAGTTCACCGGTTCTGAGAACTGATCTTCTATTGCATCAGGATTCAAGCAAGCAGGTCTCTGTAGATTCAGAAGATAATCGATGTTGGCACACGGCCGCTGATTGATCGATGTTCTTCTCTAACAGACTTTGGAACTTTGGAAGTTTCATCATTTGGATGTCTTTCAAACCAACACCAATGCATGAATTCATGAGTTCATCCATTCACTTTAAGACAAACAGTGACTTTTCCCAGGTCCCAAGTTACCAGGAATTGAACTACGATTTTAGCTATTCTGATGCAGGATCCCGAGTTCCCTCGATCCCTATCCCTCACAAACAGCAGTTCACTATACAGCACGGTTGGCAAAGGGCTGCTTTTGTCCAACCGAAGCTCCTCAACTCACTTTAAATTGTTTTCTTGGCACCAGAATGCCACCAGATGGCAGAACTGTTTGGCTTTACCCCAAAAACAGCATATGAGTTTTTCCTGCAAATAACAGATGTAGTTTTTGAAAAAGATCCACTAATAGGTAAAATTGTGACTGCTGGCCCGGGAATAGGCTCAGGGTCGTGATGGATTGTGCTGACAATAATCACCTTGTCATCAATCCAATTGTATTGGTGTTTCGGCAGGTCAGCCTTTCAAATTGGATCCCAAAACGGCGCACAAGAAGCTGCGTCTTTCCAACGACTGTCTCACCATGGAGAAGGACGAGAGCTCTCTGAAGAAGAGTCACACTCCCGAACGCTTTGGTGGAACGGGCTCATACGGGGCCGCCGGTAATGTGTTCATTGACAGCGGGTGTCACTACTGGGAGGTTCTGCTGGGAGCATCCACATGGTGAGAAACACACGCGCGCGCACACACACACCTTCACAAACATGATTATGAGTGCATTATATAAGCCTGCAAGGAGTTTTGATGAAGTGAAAAATCTTTCTTCTGGGAGTTTTAATCCAGGCTGTTACACAGGCGCGCATACACAGGAGCACAACAGCACCGTGTGTACTCTTACCCTAATTATATCCTTAGCACTAATTGGCTCTGAAGTAGACCACTTCCTGCAGGAAGGACCCAAAGGGCTGCCTTGTGTGTCCTCAGCATGAGGCATCTTGACTATGCAAGTAATTAAGGAGGACACTGATTTGAGATGGCGAATACATTCCAAAAATGTGCCTCTATCCCTGCAGGTATGCCATCGGCGTGTCTTATAAATCAGCCCCTAAAAATGAATGGAGTGGCAAAAACTCGTCGTCGTGGGTGTTCTCGCGCTGCAACAATAACTTTATGGTGCGCCACGACGGCAAGGATATGCTGGTGGAGGCCAGCCTGCAGCTGAGGCGTCTGGGTGTCCTGCTGGACTACGACAACAATTCGCTCTCCTTCTACGACGCCATGAACTCCCAGCACATTCATACCTTTGAAATCTCCTTCCTCCTGCCCGTCGTACCCACCTTCATGATCTGGAACAAGTCGGTCATGATCCTCTCAGGGCTTCCCGTGCCAGATTTTGTGGAGGGAATGTCTCTGGATCAGCAGGAGCAGCAGCAGCAACAGCAGCAGCAGATGGGCCTGTGCCGACAAGAGTCGCCCTATTTGACCGGGATGAAGTCCTGCCACTGAAGGCACGCAACGCTAAGGACAGTCCTATCCTTCCCAGTGGTGGACTGATCCATGTGGTCAGCGTGACTGCTGCATCTAGAGTGGACCTAATTACTTTCTACCGGATGTAGAAAAGTGTCAAAACGTACACACCGCTCGAGAAAATTATTCAGTCCTTAGGACCTTTAAAATCATACAACACCTTAATTATGCATCAGAGTTTGGAAAGTTGGAAACCTCAACGGAGCTGACATTAACAACCCAAACTCGCTCAGTACGTTTACATGGCATTCGAGAATGTTTTATTGTGTCCTTTTGTTGAAGTGTATCCCAATCACTGCAGTGCACAGTTGAAACTGAATTCTAACTAGATGTTCCATACTTGGAGGTTTTTTATTTCATTGCACCCATGCAAAGCTGCCATTGTAATGAAATAGTAAAAGAAAATTTTAAGAGTCCACCCACACATACAGCATAAAAATTTTCTTTTTGATTTTTGATAGTCTGACTGTAACATGACTGACATGCACGCAACAGTACACATTGTCTGTGCTCCAAGTCGTGACTCTCAATCAGTACTTGAATCCAAGTTAGCTTTGACTTTCCATTGCAAGTGACTAACCGGTTCTGTGTGAGTCACAATTAAAAAAAAAAAAAATCAAAAAGCTTTGCATGTTTGCACATGTTAACGTACTGACTGTAGAAGAGGGTTTGCTCTGTTGGTCAGCGTCATCTTTTCTTGACCTCTCGAGCTCTTCCTACTTGATTACTTTCTTCCAGACTTCAATCTAAGTCCAAGAGAGTGAAGGCAAGAGTTTCCGCATGGAACACTTGACTCTGGGGTCACTAAAATACATTTTGTCTTATAATCTACCCAAAACAACAAATATCACGGATCATGCATTGCTCCCTCAATCTACTGTAAATTCCTTGACTGGATGTGAGGAACTGACCCAAAAGGCTTGTTTGCATAAGAGGGTCAATTTTGCATTATCTGTCCTGTATAATAAGAGTTTTATTGAAAAAGACAAATGTTATTTATGACAGTTTACTTTGATTATTAACCATAACAAATCCACAAAACACTATTTAATAACACTTCCCCTCTATTGGTGTTTACTGTAAGTAGCTGCCGTGAAATCAATGGATCTTTATGGGAAAGTGTTAACTTGACTGTTCTCCACATTGCTACTTCCCAAAGGTATTATGTTGTGGTTTTTAATCACACAAAATATTGACAAAGTTGGTGTTTAAAAAAAAAACTTTATAATGATGATTGGGGAAGGAGGTAGATTTTACACTTGAACTGTCACATCATAGCATGATTGTGTTTTCCTGTCAAATGTCAGCTGACCAAACACGCACGCACACACAAATGTTGTTTTTTTTTGTTTTTTTTTTTTTTTTTTGTTTTGTTTTGTTTTTGAGGGTTGTCCTGTTCGTGATAATGCATGATAACACTGGTGGACCAGTGTTGGTTCAGTGAGTGATTTCATTAGCTCTGTCAAGTAGTACACATCTGTCAAATGCAAACTCAGCCACACATTTGCTCGCAATGATTTTAAAACCCATCTCTTGCCACCCATCCAGATCCAATTACCACATTGCATTTTGGAAGGTGAAAAATTCGCTTTTGAAGGTATAGATATCAGAATCACAACTCAAAAATCATCAAGTAGCTGCTGTTACTCATGTGTCAAATAAACATCCAGTATTGCTTCTCTCCTCCCTTACCAATGAAAAGTAGTCCAATACTTAAATTGTAGCACATGCATTGTTGTGGACTGGTTATGTCACTACCGGTATGTCTCGGTTTTGCTAGAATGACAATCAATAAAGCACAGACCTCCACAAAGGCCAAACAACCTTAGATATGCCAATCTGGCTCAATTTGTTGAAAAATCCTGATGTGCTGACAACTTTACCATACCAGCCTGATATGTGGGGGGGGGGGATATTGACACTGCAGATGGTGTCAGCTATTCTGTAAGACACACAACTCTCTCTCTCTCTCTCTCTCATATATATATATATCAGAGCCCCCCCAAATGAATTTGTTTAAGGTGGGTGTGGCATAACCTTTACCTTGGGTAGTGCGCTAATAAATGTAACTGTAAGGTAGAAGAATAAAGTAATGCTCGATAGCACAAAGATGAATATGAATGAAAGTTATATATGATTAATTATGCAGATTGGTGTACAATACATCATGTAATTCGGATTTGTGATTTCTAAATGATCTACTGAATGCAATGAGCCCTACTTAGCTACAATGCAACATTTTAATCCCAAAGAAAAGTACCGCTCTGCATAAAAATGTAATGTTTTCACTTGGCCTATACACCATGTCTCTAAGTATTGAAAAATAGGAAAAACGTTTGGGAACTAGCAAACAAACCAACAATGGGAATCAATCGGATTGGCTCATGTTTGGCCCAGGTAACAGCCTGCGTGCAGGCCCTCCACAACATACTACATACACATGTTGGACATAAAGGTCATATAATGCCATCAAAACAATACTGTGCTATAAATTACAATTTACAGATAAGTGAATGTGAATTTTTGCAAAAATGTGGTTCATTAAAAAGTATATGAATTTACATTGCAATACGTTTTGCACAAAGGCCTGTTAAATTTGTGCGAAAAAATGACTTGTGATTGAAAACACAAAGCACAGGTAAAATACGTACGCATTGTTCTTGCAGGAATGTTTCCAAATCGTCTTTGCAAGTGTGCTCGTCAAGTCAATGCATGACCTTGCCGTAGGTTCAAGAATTCCTCAACCATTTGAGTTGCTTGGCATATGGTGAATTTTAGTTTTGGAGTGTGTTGCCCCCAAAAGAAAAAAAATGCCACAAAATGTCAATCGTCTTGCATATGAAATAGTTTGCATTGCTATTTTCTTACTGTTACAAGTCAACACAGTGAAATATTTTCAGTGAATGATTTTCAGTACTGACCCCTTGCAGTGCAGTGTAAAACCCTACAGAGCAGGAGTGTCCAAACTCGGTCCTCAAGGGCCGCTGTCCTCCCTGTTTTCCAGCTCTCCCAGGAGCAACAAACCTGATTCAAATAATCAGTATCGTTCTAATGCTGCTTCAGGGCTCGCCGATGAGCTGATCATCTCAGGTGTGTTGCAGCCGGGAGAGATGGAAAACAGGCAGGACAGTGGCCCTCCAGGCCCGGAGCGGGACGTGCCTGCTATAGAGACATTGCAATAGCTTCTCCTTCTTTTGCTTTTGGGTAACTTGGGAAGTCATTTTTTGTACAACTAGGAAGAAGCACTTTCTTCTGCTGTTGGCATTTTATGAAACAGCACACAACAAGCAGGGCTGGGATTTGGGAAATTAGCCAGAGAGGAAAATAAAATAATCGATGGATTGGGAGGGGAATGTATATTAGATACAGTTGTATATTCTACAGTACGCTATATATAAACCAATGTTATTTATGTGAATTTAAGTCCAATTAAATGTCTGATCCCAAGAAAAGTATTGTGGTTTTGTGTGTGCGTGTGTGCGCGCGCTGCTTCAGCAATTCAGCCGTCCTTCCTTGATGATGTCATCGTCAAATAATGTGACAGCCATCCACCTATGTAAAGGAGACCAGTTTGTCTCTGGTGATGTCATCATCGCCAAACATAACAGCCATATGACACTGCAGGCAGCATGACAACAAAAAAATGCTGCTCCGTCCGGCTCGTCAAAACGCTGTGAAGCTCAGCCAAATTTGGCGAACTGAGTCCGGCTAAATGGAGGACAACATTGATAAACATGCAGACAAGGTGCATGTCAGGTCACAATTTAAACATTCCCACGTGCCGCTCAGTGGAGAGTGTCAACCGCAATGGCTCAAGAAGGAGCAAAACATGGCCGCCTACCTGAAATGTCTGGAGGTGGACTACAGAAAACTTTTGATGGAAAACTGCGAAATCCACAAACTTATGGAGGCCAACGAGAAGATTTTCTTAAAAACCAAGGCTGAGCTGTGCAAAACCAATCTGGAGCTGGAGAAGGTAAGACTTGCCAAAGATCACCTCACGTTAGAGATGGCAGAAAAGGAGTCGTGCTGGAATCGAGACAAATACAGGCTGCTCAAAGAGAGGGAAGCTCTGCTGAATGAAATGAGTCAAATGGTGGAGGATATCAAGCACTTGACCCTCAAGTACATGGTAAGAGCTCACCAATTTACACTACTGACAAGAAGTTGGGGGATATTTGGCTTTTCAGGTGAAATTTATGGAAAATGTAAAATGGTCACGCTACATTGATATTATGTCATGAAAGTAGACATTGAAGTAGAAGGATGCACTGGTGGTTTCCTCGTCTCAAACAATTCACTGAAACAAAAGTTAGTAACAATGGTGGGTGCACCACAACAAAAAATGTCAGCATCTCAATAACTCGTCGTGGGCCCTTGCGCATCAATTACAGCCTGACAACGACCTCTCATGCTGTTCACAAGTCGACTAATTCTCTGCTGAGGCATGACTTCCACGCTTCGTGAAGGGCAGCCCTCAGGTCATTGACATTCTGGGGTGCAGAGTTTCGAGCCTCGACGCGGCAGCTCACATGATCCCACAGGTTGTCAAAAGGGATTCAAGTCTGGAGAAAGTGCAGGCCGTCTCATTTGAGGTCCACCAGTCTCCCAACAGCCGTTCCCTGGTGATGTGACCTCGATGAACTGGAGAATTGTCGTCCATGAAGATGAAATTGGGCCCGTATTGTTCACGGCATTAATAATGTCAGTCAGGTCGGATGGGCTTGCCACAAAGTGGAGGGAAGTTCTCACCTCCCTTAAACGTGCCTGGACTTGAGTGGCATTCGTCAGCCGGTTTCTCAGAGCATTGTTCACAATGTAACGGCCATCAACATGGGATGTGGCCAAAGGTCCACTCCTACATCTTTCTGTGACTCTTCCGGTCTCTTGGTATCTCTGTTGCAACCAGCTGTTGACACTCTGTGACACTCTGAGCTCAGTGGCCACTTTCGTCTGAGAATCTCATGTTTGACCCATCACAATGGCAACGTATCGTTGATCCTTTGTTCGGTGTCGTCTTGGTCTCATTATGTCAAAATGTGAACAGCATGGTGAGGATGACTGTTTTATCACCAGCCCCAATCGAACCGAGACATTTATTGGTTGATTCAAGGATCAAACACCTGTTCTGAATTTTGCCGTTGAGCTTCTCATTTGAGAACTTGTGCAAAAAGTACTGAAACATTTAACAGTTGGACTTGTACATTCAAAAGCTTTGAGAAGGTCACATTAAGTTCACCTTGTAAAGGTTTGAATGCATTTTAGGCTCGTCCTGAAATTTCACCTGAAAGCCAAATAGCCCGAACTTTTTGTGAATAGTGTATATTTAAAAGTAACGTAAAACCCTGAATGATGTGCTGTCTGTTTTCAGGAGCTTGTAGTCAGAACGTTAGAAGGTGACAATACGCTCAAGGTGAAGGAAGAGGGCAAAGACAAGGAAAAGAAGGACAAGAAGTGCTCTTTATTTGGAAGGATGATGAACCGTTTTATCTCAAAAACAACTCTTTAACGACACCAGGACAAAAGCTTGTGTGACGCTACCCCCTGTGCCTTAGAGGGTCAACTGAGTGACTCAAATGCAACACAAGTGGGCTCCTGATGGCACACCACTGGACCTGTGGTGTGCAAGCATACAGCAACTAAACTTGGACAAAAGTAACTAGAACTGGCTGCTACAATCAAGAGGATGTGAAAATGGAGGAAACTGTGGAGCATCTCCATCAGCTTCCATTCATCTGCAAAGACTTTGGACAATTTTTTTGAGGATCATTTGAAAAGTCAGAGGTCACTGGAGATAGATCTGGTTCATCCCAGATTGGTATGATGGGGTGAGGTCCATTCAAGCCCCACCTTTACGGACCTTGCTTTGCACATTGGTGCACAGTCGTTCTGGATGAGGGAAGACCATTCCTCAGACCCGGGCACAGGGATACTCTGATATATGTTCGAATACGAGTACTTCTGATTACTCACAGAGACGTGATAAATATATTATGTCTTGCAATTGTGATGATTTTTTTAAAATATATTAATCACATATTGTTAAGAAAAAAAAACGTTATTTTTAATGTGACCCAGGTTTCAACCCTATGTGAGACTTTTTCGGGTCACAACTTGTCATTACTGATGTTTTGACATCAAACTGCACGATTTTCTAAGTCTTGCCACACATTTCACTTCAATGGCGCCTGTACCACAAAGCATCTCAAAAAATGGCAAGGACATTGAAGTGATAAATGATCACACCATTGCTTACTTCTCTTTTCTTGATGTGCCGCCTCCTCCGCAGCTTGTGACGGTAACGTGGTTAGCTCAGCCGGGGCCGAGCAGCGCAAAGCAAAGTGGGACATGCAGATTGTAATCTACAGACGCCGTAAGTCTTTTCATCTTGTGTTTACCTGAATGGTTCTCCAGATGGCTGAAATGGCTCCCACGTCGCACCATATCAAGCTGGTAAAGTCTTATTAGCGTCATATTATTGGAGCCTTCAAAAGAGCCACGCCTGGCTCGCGAGCCATAGGTACCCGACCCCTGTTTTAAATGATAGTGTGCATTTGAAACAATTATCTTAAGTTGGTTAAAGACTCACCACAGAGCTAAAACATTATGGAAGCCTTTGTAAAATATATTCCATGAGGTTTATTCCACTCCTTCCTGTGGTTTCCCTACCTCCCATCTTTTTCAAGAAGACTTGCTGCGTAGGAGGAGACCATGTGGTTCTCCTCACGCTGCTTCATGTCAATACACCCCCTCGTCTACCTTTCATGTCCTATAAATAGCCAATGCTCCCAATTGTAATCACCAAAAAAACCCGCTTGTGATTCTTCGTGCCTGTTTGCTGTGTTTCTGGCTGCACCGACTGCACAAATTAACAGTCCTAACATTGGTGGACAGTTGTTTAGACTGTAGGAGATGAATCAAAGATGTGAGTGAAGAATGGACACAAGATTAACTGGACTTCGTTCATTTGGCACGTACTTGGCAAAGGTTGTTTTTCAGATTTTTCTATGTGCAATATATATGAACACTTCACTTCACAACCAAAGCAGTGATAATATGTCGTCTATACGTCCCCATGTGTGATGCATTCATAAATCATGTGTCTTAACTCATGGATTGGCAAAATCCCTTTCAGCAGGCTACAGATGGAATGCATTCTACCATTTTTATTCTGCCAAACGAGAATGTTTTCATTGTGACTCAAACAGCAAAAAAAAAAAAAAAGTAAATTCCTTTATTCGCAATTTTATTGTAATGCACAAAGGCTGATCAAAACAATCCTTCTTACCTTAGAGCTTTTGTGCTTGGCAGAGATAACACCCTGTGTTTACACACGCTGACAAAATTGTTGATACGCTAAGTTTAAAGACAGGAACCCCACAAATAATATATTCCGTGTTTGGCTTTCATTTGGAGCAAAGTTTTGGAATGCAACAGAAAATAGACTACCTGTAGTCCATTGCATCAGAAGGGAAGAGGGAGTTGTCAAACTGAATCCTGATAAATTCATGTTTTGTAACTGCGTGAATTAGGAATAAAACAAAAACAGTTTTTTGTTTTGTTTTTTTAATTGGAAAAAAAAATAATTCGGTTTTATACTATGCAGAGATTCAAGACTCCCTGTGCTAGATGCAAAGTGATCCTCCAACATGCTGTATTCAACCCTCTTCCATTTTTCACAGTGTCCTTTTCATGGAATCCTTTTTTTTTTCTTTTTTTTTAATGAATTGAATCACCACAGACCTTATGTAATTTGCCAAAAATCTCCACTTTAATTTTATATGTCCCAAAGACATTC